TTCCAATTTCACGCACTTTGGCCGTAAATTTGGCTGAAAATTTTAAATCTTAGATGGGCTTCTCCACCTTCCGAGCTTCCTTGATCCTAGTGACACATTTCTAACTCGAAGGCGTTTTTTTCCTAACTACGGTGTAACTCCTAAAATAATGCAGACTATAGGATACTATAAATGATTCGAAATCGCACCGAAATAATTAGTTTCATTTTGTTATTCAACCATGACAAGGACACTGATAAGACTGGACACAATCCTATCAGCACTAGTTAGGAAGTTTGAATAAGAATTATCAGTATGCCGAGACAGAAAAAAAACCAACAGGGAAGGCTTGCAATTGATCTCCAAAATGAGCGTGAATGAGACGAAGAGATCCCGTAACATTGCAGCGTTTTACTGGAGCCTATGACCACGAATTTGAAGTGCTTAAGGGCGATACCGTAAACTTCCCTTCATAAGAACTGAGCTAATACAACTTTGTAATGGCGTTCAGAAAGGCTCGAATCAAGCACTAGCAGTGCTAACCAAAATACATTTGCGTTTACTGACTTCTAATGAAGCCTGAAAACGTCATCAAATCGAGTTCATTTTAATACATTTAGAACAGAACAAAACAAACAACACGAATAAAACTGAAACAATAAAAAAGGGCTGTTCAGACTTCTGCCTTAAAGTTCACCTCAGCTTTCCAACCTTTCCCATCATATGGTAACATTTTAATGTCGTTAGTAGAACTCTCAGGCCAACAAAGGTGTACCGCGCCAGGAGGATCAATAAGGATTTATATATAATTATATAGAAGGGTTAAACTTGGTACACGTAAAACAGTGCTTGATACATATAGTAGAGCGAGTATAACGTGTGATAAGCAGAAAAAAATCAATCAATTATATTTCATCCCTACACACCTGTTTCGTGGTTGCCCACTCATCAGGATATTTTAATGACGGAATAACGCAGTACCATTGCTTATATACTATACTAATTAACATAATTGATTTGGTGCGAAAATTGTCAAGTCAGTTGTTGCGTAGGAGGGCTTTGTTTCTGTGTCGGCAGGAAGAGACGAGTTGGTTCCGTTTGTTGAGTGTAGATAGGTCGGGCCGGCAGATGATCAGGAATTTCTCTTTAAGGCATAGGTTGCATCGTTTGCTTGAGCTGTTGTAGGGCAGGCGTGAAGATAGAATGCGCCAGGTGATGGAATAGCCGATGGTGTTGTCTGTAAGTGTCCAGAACTCGTCTCTTCCTGTCGACACAGAAACAAAGCCCTCCTACGCAACAACTGACTTGACACTTTTCGCACCAAATCAATCATGTTAATTAGTATAGTATATAAGCAATGTTACTGCGTTATTCTGTCATTAAAATCCCCTGATGAGTGGGCAACCACGAAACAGGTCTGTAGGGATGAAATGTAGTTGGTTGGTTTTTTCTACCTATCACACGTTATACTCGCTCTACTATATGTATCGATCACTCTTTTACGAATACCAAGTTTAACCCTTATTTATTTATAATATTTTCTTTGCAGATTGTTGACCGAGACAAAATAGAAAATAAAGTGAAAATTCACTTTATTGGATATTCAAGTAATTTTGATGAATAGAGAGATGGAGATGACTTAGTTGACAGAGAAAAAAGTAGTCTTGGTCGCTTGGTACCACGATTCATACCAAGTGAAAATTCCTTGTCTGACAGGGCTTCAGCTTTATACAACCGTCTCGGCCGGGAATTAAAGTTTAGTCTATTTTCAACCAAAGGGGAATCACCAGAGGTTCGGACTGAGATGCAGATTGACATGGATATCTATAAAACATATTTAAAAAATATTGGATTAGTAAAAAAGTCAAGAGGATGGGAAGTACATAGTGTTGACGATAACTCTCATTTAAGCGATCTGCTTGGTAGTAGGCGGTTTGAGAGAATTCAAAATGTAAATGGAGACTTTTGTTATGTCATTCCTTTAACTGTAAGATTTTGGCTGCATGAAAAAAAGCCTGTGAAARAGTTTGTTTATGTCGGCGATACTTTTGTAGAAAGCCAGACTAAAAGTGACTTGCATGTCATTTTTACATTGATGACATGTAGTCGTCTGCCAATATTGGTACCATCCACAGAAAGTTTAACTCGAATGTTATGATTTTCTTTGAAAGCAGCGTTAGAAGGACTATTTTTCAGAAGAGTCTGCAACCTTACTTCTAGTCATTCCTTGATGCTCTGCTGAATCCCACAAGTATCATTGGGAGTACTTGACAGATTCCATTTACTATTTAAAGCCTTTATCTCTCCTTGACTTTCCATGACCGAGGTAGTTCCTTGCAAATCATAGAAAGTTCATGGTATGCTTCATTTGATATACTAAATCTTTCCTTTATGTACAGTAGTAAATTTATGTCATCAATCTCCTCATCAGTGAGTGTCTCGGCTCGAGATGAGTTTTGAATGTTATTGTTATCAACCAATGTGAGAGTCTCTTACTCTTGAGTGTTCTAATGGAAAATTTCAACTTTTAGTGGCAACAGAATTATGAAGTCCAAGAAATGAAAGTGGTTTCACAGTCTGTGACCATTTGCTTTGGAACTCTAGTTTGATACCTTTTGCTATAGTCTACAAATGTTTTACTTTTGGCAGGACCCCTTGATTTCTTATCTTTTTGTGGTTTCATTAATTTCTGGACAAGGCCTTTAAGTTTCTTTTGAAATTTGCCAGTAATTTCTTTGTTTTTAGCAACAGCTTCCTTTATTTTCTGCTCAATTTTGGCCCTCTTGCACATTTCCTCTGTAAGATCTCCTTCAAGCTTTCTTTTCTGTCTCCTCAATTTATTGTTTTCTTTTTGGAGCATAACACAGTCCATTTCATAATAATATATCTTACAATACCAAGTTGAAAATTTACCCTTTGTCCACTTAGAAAAGAGTTTTTTCACCCCATTGCCTCCCATAGTTTTGGCTTTGGCTAGTGCTTGATTTACTCGCCAGATCTTTGTTTTGAATTCTTGGATCAGCCTATGATTTATTATTGCACTTGGGATTCCGCACTCCTGTCCGACTTTTTGTATAAGTATCCTTAAAACGGAGTTTCGTTTGCCTAAGCTTTCCTGTGGATCGAGTTCTTCATCACGGTCAGCCTCTTGTTGTAAAGATTTGTACAATTCGTACAGAAGTTTACTGCCAACAAACATGTAGAAAATTTATCAATTGCTGAACATGAAATAGGGCGCAATTTCATAAATTTATAACAAATTTGGAATTTATAGATTCAAAGATTACTTGTTTATTTGGGCCTGAAATTAAATGATGGATATTCTTTGTGGCTGTGATTCCCACCATAGCCGTTTTCCTTCTTTTCTTCGTCGTTTGGTACGGCCCCTACTGCACAAAACAACACAAACGTAATGCAAATTACAAGAAGAGCCCAGGCATTGCGCAACATCGCCAACATCTGCGAAGAAGTACTTTCCAAACGCCGATCTACATATATTTTTTCGCTCCAACACGTACGAATTTGGGGTAAAAATGTTCATTAGATCCCAGGCTTTCCAGATCAACCGGTACATACGCATGTTTTAAACGACAAGGCCGCTTGAAGTGAGGACTGTGTTTTGGCCGAGCGGTCAATGCCAGTCAAGGTTTCTTTCAAGTTCGACGACTTCGAAGCCCGATTTACATGGTTTATTTTTCACTTTCCCTAAGTATTTTGCGACTTCTAGATAGAGTAATAAATATATATCGTAAATCTAACCATAAATTTAGAGAAAGTGATCGTTAACTTTGTCTAGTTTTGCTTTTCGCTAAAAAATTAACAATTTCCGCTATGATTTTGTGTCACTATCGGGGGCGTGGGAACATAGTTAATAGGCCGTTTCAACCTCAGGAACCGAACAATAGGCCGGCCCTTTCATGTATGCCGGCCTTCATAACCAGTCCCTTCTATTAACTATGCTGGCAACGAAAAAAAAAAAAAAAAAAAAGAGGCACGTAATTTTTTGGAATGATTATATCAGCAGTAAGGATTATATATATTTCACGAACACCCAGAAGGTTGAATTCAGAGTAACTGAAACGTTTCTATTTGAATTGCAAAGTTTATTTTGGTATTCACATGCTTTATCAACGTCATACCAACGTCATACCAACGCCAACACATCCGGATCGATTAAGATTATGGCAATTACATCATGCGAACTCAATGGATAGGATTGAAAACTTTTTAGTTCTCCTTGCATATTATTTCTCGCAAGCAAAACTGCAATCGTCAAATCCGCTGCCAACTCAACTTTGGCGCTGTTTAGCAAAACCTCTTTCTGTGTCTTTATCTGCATCTGCAAAATGTTAAATTATGGCAAAACAAAATCGGTACTTAAACTGCTCGGTATTCTCTGATTGATGTCTGTTTCGTCAAGTTTCGTCAGAGAAAAGCGAACGCGACAAAGACATCATCAGGTTGATTGAAAGCCAAGAGCAACCGCATACACATGTTTCTACCTGGTTGGGCGGTCTCGAAACATCTCGTCAGTTTAGTTTTTAGCAAACAACCCCAACGGCAAATGCTCAATGAATGGGTTAGACCATAGTTAGTAGACAAACTATGGTTAGACGAAACTTTTGCCGCTTTACAAGAACGAGAGAAAAGGTTCGAAATATCTAATGCAAAATTTACTTGCGAACCTGTCACCGGAGTATCCCGTAAAAATTGGTAAATTTTAATCATCAGTCGTAATGAAAGTTTACCATAATTTTTTGGTCAAAAAGAATACAAAGAAATTAACCGTTATCCGTAAATTGACCAAATTCTTAGCCTTTAGGCGCAAGAGCCATTGTTCCCTAGAGACCCTCTGACTTGCTCATAACCAATCCGCCATTTTGTTCTGTTGTCCTTTTACTCCTTTGCCATCAATCAATTCTAATGTCAACTCTCTGCAATCAATGTCAACTTTCTACACTGTCTAAGCTTAATTAATGCGTTCTAAGCCAGTGAACATACTGAATTGAAAATTTCAGTTTGCATGCATATTATCAATTAGTCTCGTTATTTGCCGCCAGTGAATTTCCGTGTCGATCATCATGGCGTTGAAAGAGTTTTCTTGCGTCCTTTTCTTCTGTCTCTTTAGCGTGGGAAGTGCTACCTACTGCAGTTCCACGAGCGATTGCTTTTGGGGATCTGAAACCTGTTGTTCAGATGGCGTCTGTAGAGAAACTTGTTACTATTGCTCGTTCAGCTCTCAATGCGGTACGGGCGAAGAATGTTGTGATCACAAATGCAAGGATTCATGTGGTTGGAACGGCGGGTCTATCGCAGGTGCAGTTGTCGCTACAATAATCTTTTTCGCCATCATCATTTCCATTGCATCCTGTTGCTGCTGTGCTTGGTGCCCGTACTACCGCTATCGTACACCCGGTACTGTGGTCGTCACCCAACAGCCTTATCAACCTTTCGTCTCAACTCAAACGACGATGACGCAGCATGTACAAGCTCCTCCGCCAGTCGATTACAACCAACCACCTCCAGGTTACAGCCAGCCTCCACCGGGCTACAACCAGCCTCCTCCAACTTACCCAAGCTACCCTCCGCCTTCAACTCTGCATCCCCCACCTCAAGGACAAGCTCAAGCTGGTGCAATGCCTGCTCAAGTACAGACCCGTTAAAACGAGACAGCTACGTGTGTCCGCTATTTCACGAACGTTTTCAGACAAGTAACTTAATAGCTCTAAAACACTAGTTACGTTGAAAAGCAACACGCATGTTGGATGAGTTAGATTAGTTTTAAGCACAGGAATAATTAGTAGTGAAGTTTCTAAACTTTTGTGGCACTTTTTAAAATTTTTGGCACACTGCAAGTTTTCTAAGGTAAATACGTCTTAATACCGTTGTCTAAGCTTCTTATTTGGTTATTGAGTATTGCGCAAATTTATATTGGCTTGTTGAGTGAACGGCGCATTCTCCGATGCTTCCACAACCGTGAAGTGACGTTGGTACACGGATGGCTACCACTGCACAACATTACCCTACAAAGGATTTCTCTTGACTGATGATGAAAGTTTTTCTGGATTTGAAACCCGTAACTCCCTTTTTGTCTGATATTTTCCAACTCTTCCCATGGTATAGAAAACAGGAACTAACTCTTCGACAGCACACGCTGTCATTAAGGGCTAAATTTGTCACTTTCATATTCAAAGAGGCAGATGGCCGTTTAGGCCTTTAGACCTCACGAACAGTTGCTTCTAAACTACTCAAACAAGATAATTCACCTACTTCTAAGTCGCAAGTTCATTATTTTACAATCTAATGTCAATCCATCCTCTTTATTGTGATAATTGATACCAATCGTTTTATCAACCTATCAGTGTTTTTTTTTTCACCGATGCAGTTCATTGCACACAGCCGTGTAGTATTTTTTCACTAATATTTTCTCGCAATTTACCAAGTGTTTCTCAATTTTTTAGCATTAGAGAATTACCTACAAAACGTTTTTGAGAACATGACCCAAACAGTGAGTAGGTTCAAGTTATTAAGGGCTGTGTCGTTGCTGGAAGTATACAGAAGATATAATGCAGGTATTAAATGGCTCTGTAAGACAATGTACTTTTGCTTAAAACAATTTGTATTACGAGATATTTACCTCTATCATTCATTAGCTAGCACAGCTTGAAAATATTTAAGCTGACTTTTTGTACTTGATAAGGTAGCCTATTTTTAGAATCTCGCGGGAAAAAAAATAAGCATCCGATGCAAAATAAAGGATAAAAGCTGGTAGTTTTAAATTCCTCTGTCGACAAACTTGTTCTTAAATGTATTCTCTCAAAGCCAACACCATTCATTTTTAGAGAAACGAAGAACACACTATTCCCTGACTTCTCTGAGAGAACTTGACACTGCAGTTGAGAAAAAGCAAGTAATCCAGCAATGCCAATTTTCCAATCACCGCAACCAATTTGTCAACTTCCAGATCAAAATAGGAATCCTAAGACCAGGATCTCTATTTAAATTATCCTTGCTCTTTATCCTACCTTTCTTCTTAAATTTGTTTTATAACATAACCAAAGTAAAGCGCGCGCTCTGATTGGTCTATATAGCGACCCCCATATATTAACTGGAAATTGACATTGTTTACAAGAAATGCGAGTGGCGTCCATTAGCTGACCTCCCCCCCCCCTGGGCAGGGTCGTGTAAAAGGGGGTTGACAGGAATCTAGGATTAAAAGTTAACCCTTGGCTTCAATTTTTCATGTAGAAGAGTGTATACAGGAGCTGAGATTTTGTTGGTGCTTTTCTCAATAGGACTCGAAACTAATTGGGAAAAAATTCAAAAGGAAAAATCTTTTGCAGAGCTGTAAAACTAAATTAAAACTTTACAAGAACCACGGGTTAGGTTAATCGTGTTGTGAACAACCCGGCCCAGGACAATGGATCCAGCAGGGAACTATTGGTCCAGGGTCCACTTTACACCTTAAGGGGCTGTCCACTGATCCTGCACTGTGTAAAGCTAAAATGAAACTGAATTTTATTTATTTTGTACAGATCTTAAAAATTGATGCGGCATACTCACAACACTCAAAATAAAGTGGAACCTGATGCAAAGATATTGCCTAACTCTTCTTACAATGTAATCATTATTCATAATACAGGCTTCATTGATAACTTATTTATAACAAATTAATTGAGCAAGAAAGCAGCTCTAAGGTTACTGTCAGTGATGTAACATTTTAGTCCACTTAGAACTAACAAATAACGTGAAACTATTTACTACTAAAACAAAAAAAACAAAAAAATGACAAATGTAAATGTTGTGTGTCAAGCAAAAAGGAATTCTTAGACTCCTTTTGAACCAAGACTACATGCATTCCCTCCTTTGGGGCAAAGTCAGTCGTGCCAGTAAAAAGTAATCAGTGAAAGCAAAAATTTATGTTGGTGTACTGTATAGAACTTGGGGGATTTCCATGCGGAACACTAACATCGATTTCTGTTTTCAGATTTTTTTAACATTCATTAGATGGATTTTGCTGAAAGGCAGGGACTGTTCCTAATTTATTCTACCTTGAACCAGTTTTCAACATGGTCCAAGGATATGTTAGTGCCTCGCACAATGTTTACCAATCAGGTTATAGTATGGGTATAATGTATCATACAAGTTTCGCTTTGAACTACCTGACCAGCATTGCTCGAATTTGTGTACCCATAACATCAATTGCAATTAGAAACAAAGCTCTCACTCATTTACAGTACTCAAAATCTTGACAAGCCATGAAAATATGTCCCCTCTCTTTGAGTCATTACTTAGAATTAAAAACGTTAAATTTACTTCAGGCCACTCCTGCTTCCAGTTAATCATTTGATCTTTGGATTTAAAAAAAAAAAAAACCCAAGATGCCATTGAAGCGAAGTTACAAACTCAAGGATGTCTTAGTTATTTTCAAGCCTGTATATCTATATATACATATATTTCAAATGCATTTAGCCAAATGAAAAAAACACTGTCCAGAAGGAGAATTCACCAAGTATCTTCAATGACTAAAACAGTCTGTGTACAGCCCTACAAAATACTTGTGTGATAATAATATGCGAAGAAAATCCAAGAGGTCTGTTCTACATGATCTAATTATCAAAGCTAAAACCAAGCACCACACATGCAAGTGCAGGTGTATCATCTTTCATTTCCATGTATCCATTGAAAACTATATCATTTTTAAGTTACCCAATACTTCATTGGTTTGCCACGTGTTCATAGGCGAGAATGACTTCTAGCCATTCAATCACCACATACAAGCACACAACGTGCGCTGGATGACAAAGTGATTTGCCTCCCTTAAAAAAACTCCAGTGCACTTTGATGTATTTAAAATCATAGTGGGCTTGTTGATACTGGCAAAAATGACAGCTTATCTGGAGTACACCATTGCGTGTTGAGAACCTCTACTGGTGACATATTCACTACAACTTGTCCCAGTGTAACCATGTATGATGGCTGCCTGGTTACCCACTACATATCTGCTGCCAACATAGTGACTGGAACTTCCTTCAATAGTGGATGCATTTGGAACAGCACTGACTATGGGCAGACCACTTGGAATTCCTCCCAAGGCATAGGGTGTGGCGCCTAAAATGCCTCCTGCCAAATGAAAAAAAATTCTGTCACGAGTGGAATTTATCTTTAGTTTACTCAAGTTAAGTTTGAAGAAAGTAATGTAGGAAAATTACCTGTGATGGACTGCCATACCATTCAGCGAAGCCTTAGCTGGGTCATATACTTTTTTATATGGGGGAAGACTCTTCACTTTAACTATTAGGGGATGGGAGGGAGGTAAATGTAGGGGGGGGGGAGGGAGTCCATGCATAGTTCAACCATCCCTTTCTGCCAAGTCCTGACTGTGTCAATGTGTTGTGTACCAAATCAGAACACTTAATAACTCAAACAGTGCTGCTCTCCAACCAAGAGAATAAATATTTACAATGGAACTTTCAGGAATATCATTCTTCACATGTTTTAGGTCATTTTCTATCTTGAACTGTTTATGGGTAAGAGATAGTAAGAATCCACTGAATGTCATTATCTTTCATTTTCATTACCTCCACTATAAGCTCCTACTGCATTGACCACAAGTCCATTGCCCATAATGCCTGCTCCACAACCAGCATCCAGGCCATTCTCAGTCCCAGCATTTGCACCAGTTCCTGTAGAGCTAGCCATGTTCCAGTAAAGCTCTGTTGGGGAAATAGAGTTGCACCCTGCAGGAATAGGGGTCTGGGTACCAGTGTAGCGGAAGTAAGGGTTTTTCAGGTCTAGTGTGTTTGTTGATCTGACCTTTGTTCCGTCAAGTGAAAGTTCAATTTCTACATCATAGCTCTGTCTATAAAAGAAACTGAACATCAGCACTGCAGTGGCCCATAAGGAAAAACAGAATAAATCATTCAAATTGATTTCAAACTGCTGAAAAATTAATATAACCTGCACTGAGAGTTTTTGTAAGACTAGACCATCCAGTTGGATAATAAATAACATATCAGATGTTTAAGTGTATAGTATTGCTTGGTATTTTTACTTGTAGTTTGTATTTTGACTTGCCCTATGGGCACACCAAAATACAGCACAACTCAAAAATACTCAGCAGAACTGAACACCAAAACATCTAATAAGGTCTATGATGTATTTCACTTATTTCATATGAAACTCTCTAAAGCATCGAGCCGGTTCGTTGCTACCATACCTCCTGTTAGAAGTTAGAAGTACTTTCCCAGACAATGCCTGTCCAACTTTTGCAAATATTGGTGTATGAAGAAGACATCGAACCTGCAAAGTTCAATAGTCAAGTAAACATTCTATCATAATGTCAAACACACAATACATCCTTAAACCTACTTAAAAGAAAGTACATTTCCAAAGAAAAAAATTCAAATTATGGAAAATCGATGTTGACAATGTAAGACTAAGAAATGAATTCTCTCTCCTGTTTCCAGTCACAAAGTCTTAAATTGATTCATCTTATTCTTTACTAATGTTATGGTCACCTCTGTAGAGTTGCAAAAATGGAAGATGATAAAAGGGACCCAGTCTCTGGGTTGTAAGCCATGAGGGCTCGACACTAACGGTAGCCAACTAACCATGGGCTACTGTAGAAGAATTTCAATTTTGGCTATAGTGATTTTCTACTTCCACTAGCCAGTTTGGCTAGTAATTAAGCAAACTGAAATTATTATAAAATCTAAGTTGTCACCGGCAAATTGGCTTAAGTAGGTTGAAAAGTTAGTGTTGAACCCTGTAAGCAGTTGTTTTTGTACTCTTTCAAAATTTCTAGTTTGTCTTTTAATTTTGAAGATACACAGTGTTGATTAGAATACTTTAAACAATAAAAATGGTTCTTAGGAATCACATGAAGCACCTGTAATTCCATAAAAGCATTTGTGTTTGTTTCATACATTTCTTGGCACTTTTGGGTGTTGGGTGTCTACAATAGCAGGTTCTCCACAAGACAAGAGCAAGAGTTGATTTTTAGTCTTAATTCATTAACATGTGATTGTTTTCTCTGAAAGAGTGCTGTGTACTTCTGATACCGGTAACTAAGGATTTATGAAGTGTAACTGCATATGGATCTACCTGGTACCAATGGGTGAGAGGCTCTTGTGGTGCGGTGGAGAGCCACACTGGAGTGCTATGATAGAAGTAATCAACAAAAAGAATTACTGTGTTCTAATCTTAACACAAGGAATTCAAATCAATAGTGGTCTACCTGAGCTGTAGACAGTTAATTAACTAGCCTGAATCTCATCTTTCAGCCACATTGCCAAATTGGCAACCTTTGCTCAGCAGTGAGGTAATATACCAACATTCTTGAAATGTCATTTAATATACATGTAAAGTCAAAACAAGATAAAAATCAACATAAAACTATTGTTTATGTTTCATCCTTGTCTCTTTGTCCTTCACTGTAGGGCTGCAAGATTTGTTGAGTTTTGAGATGTTGAGTATTAGCCTTCAGAAATATTTACTGGTTACTAAATGTCAATTGATATTTTTATTTTTGGTGACCATTCTCTGATATTTGGTTCCCGATCATCCAAAAGATACCTTACTCAAGCTTTGCTGTAAATGAAATAAATTTGGTGGGGAAGAATGGCTCAAAAGACCCTCCACTGACATGAACAAGATACATTCAGTTAACACCCAGCCTGGTGTCTTTTGAGGAGATTTAAGTGCAAGCCTATCAGAAGTCATCTTTTATTTACTAAAATGCAGTGTCTCTGTCATTGTGGACATTAAGTGAGTTATTCAACACTTACTTGCTTCCTTGGAATAAAACATCAAACCAGAAGGCAAGGCCATGGACTGTTCCTGAAGTGTGCAAGATAAAATGCAGAGGAATTTCTATTCTGCAAAGTGAGAAATATCAATAACACATTCAGAAGGGATGAGAAAAAAGTTCCTCCTTACAATTAATTGAATGGATACATCCTAGACCAGAAAGTCAATGAGAAGAAAGAAAAATATGAATAAAGGGTCAATGTTTGATTTCAAACTACTTCTTAGAACTAACATTATTATAATTGCACCTCACAAATCTGCAGCAACACTCAAGCAATTCTATGAAGTGCAGGAGCAAAATGTAATTGTCATCATTCAAACCCAAATTCAACCACTATGAAATACATTGACATGTTGGTCTTTCAATTGGAAATTTGCCTGTAACAGACTTGTCTATAACGAGGTGTCAATTGTTACAGGAAGACTGCAACATTCTAGCTTGGTAATTTAAGCAACTTTCAAAGAGTTGCCAAAACTTGTACGTCAAGTCTTATCACCTGAGAATAATTGTAGATACTAATATACATGTTATATTGTATCAATTTTAGCTACAGTACCAGATATGCTAGATTGTGTTATCTTGGCCTATACCTGTGCAAATCTTCTTCTGCGGCACTGAGAAAATTTACAGTGTGCGTTACCGGTTTGGCCATCAAAATGCGCACGTCAAATGTATCCTGCCATACAGAGAATAGAAAAGTATAATTACTGTGGATCCTCTGACAAAAAGCAAATTATTCTGGGTACAAATGCACTGTAAAAGTTAAAAGAGTCTTTCTCGATTATTACAGAACTCAGTGCCTCAGATCAGGAATTTAAAAGCAGAATTCTCAATATGATGTTCTGCATACAAAAATTCAAGGAAACCATTCTCACAACAAGAAAATGTATGCCTGTAGCTTGTTTAACAGAACTTAGGGTTGTTGCTAAGTGCTGGCTGCAAGCAAAATTTGCCAGATGACAATGTAGCAACCTGTTCAGCATCAACCCCATCAAGTGACATGTGGCAGATGATCGTTAAGGTGCTCTGATTCAGTCTTGCATGGTACTGTGGGCTCTGAGAAAACTATCTCCTCACAAGCGATCCTGAGCCATGCATTGAAGGAACTATATGTCATGGTATTTTAGGCACTCTGTTTACCAAAACACCTTAGGGCTGTATAATTCAAACAGACAGCCTAACAGATGGACATAACAGACATGACCACTTCAAAAAATTTATAGGGCTGGAAAACATCTCAAAACATTTAGAGAAAAGGAAATTGCCGGGCCACTTCTTCTCAAGTTTAGCCAAACAAGCTCAACAATATTATGCAATCAAGTCTACTGAATATACAAGTCTCTTTCTGGCTTCCTTGTGGTACACTGAAGTTCATCTTCAGTCTTAAGCCATAATGATATAGAAGAAACTCTAATCACTTGGTTCACTTGGTGCCGTAACTGGTGTAAAAACAAAATCAAGAAGCCACTCAACCCATCAAATTCTTAACCGAAACTAATTGCTAATTAATCACTTAATCCACTTGCTTGATCACGTCAAAATAAAAACAGTCCACATTACTTGGAAACGGAAGTTTCAATTACTCATGAGCCAACATAATTTACCATGAATTGAACTTCTACTAATGAAAAGGTTCAAAAATAACAATTAATCAACAGCAGAAAAGCTTACCACAATTGGTTGCCTGAAGTATTCCTCTAATGCAGATTCTCTCAAATTGGACAAATCAACTCCATAGAACGAATTCTGATACCTACATACCCAAACAATAATGTTCATTATTATAAGCAATATTACAAGAGAATAATGCAGTTAATAATAACAAATAAATTACAAATTCAAATGAGTAGGTAGAAATGCTGTAAAACAACATTAGAGTCACACTTGGCTGCACAAATTTTACAAAGTTTTATCTCTGTTATAATGCTCACAATACAAGTAAAACTCTTGAAGGACATTGTACTAGACCGGTCAGATTAACTAACAAGAAAAATAAATTAAGAAAACTAGTCAAGATCATTTTAAAATCACTCTGTAAAACATTTTAGTACACAAATAGTGCTCACCAAAAGTTTGCTTTAGAGAAATGTTCCATATAGAGAGCATCATCATAAAATGGAGCCACGTGTAGATCACCAGTTGTTGGAAACATTTTACCTTCACAAAAAAATCACAAGAGAAAACATGTATAAATAGATGTATTATCATTATGATTATTATTATTATTATTATTGTTATTATTATTATAATTATAATATTATTATTATTAATCTAAAGCCTGCTGCCAGTAACTATACCATTGAGCCTGTTCACACACCTTTCATCTATTTATTATGCTAGATCTTCTGGCATGAATGCAAGTGAAAAAAAAAATCTGCGGGAGAGTCAAAAATTGTAAGCAGAAAAGATCAGGATGGGGGAAAAGAAATTCATTTAGACTTTTGCTGTTGTGGGTTTCTCTTGCACATGAAATTTCCTGTTTCTCCAGAAATGAAGATTGTGTCTTGCATGCACTCTGGCTTATTTCCTCTGTGCTTAATTGCTAAGCAAAATAAAAAAAAAAATCACAGAGTGGCTGTGCACAGATTACTTACCTTCTGGTTTAAGCCATTTTTTAGCATGAAGATAACTCTCCAACATTCTTTCATTGTAGAGCATATAACCCATTGGCTCTGAAATGATTACATCTACCATTTCTGGAATCTCTACCTTTAAAATGGAAAAATGACAATTTCAATTCAAAGCCTGCAAATGGAGCTCTAGAAGGGAAGTATTTGATGGACTCTTTTAACAAATTAAATGATAACAAAAGAATACTGTTTTCTCTTAGGTCTAATTTTGATTTCCAATTCATTGTTGACAGTAATCCTGGATTGTATTGGTTTTTCTTAACTTTTCTCTTTGAATTACCTTAACCCTTACACTTTTACATCAGTTTGCGTTTTCTCCATACTGTTCTCTTAACATTTCCTATGGAGCTGGCAAGGAGAGTTTGTTGAACAATCAAGAGCTTCTTTAGTTGGTGATCATTTCCTTTCTTCTCTTGACCTTAAATGTGTGATTCAGGGGTGATATTGACAGGACAAAGTTAGGTGCAACTTTACAACTTTATCACACATGTTTTTGTGTCAATTAAACTACTTGTCTTTGCATGGAGTTCTCTTTGGCTTTATATGATATTTTTCTTTCACCTCAATGATTTTTGGATTTACTTTCAAGTGATTTTGGTTTTGAGACACTTTTAACAAGCAGAATTCAATTGGACATCAACTTTACCACTGCAACAAGGAATCAGGCGAGGATGAGGTAAAGGGAGAGAGAGAGTTGTTTTTTATATCCTAGTTAAGCTTAGCTGGTATATACTTACCTCTTCAACTTTTCCAGGAATCACAATCACTTTGTCTGAAAGGTTATTGTGTTTGACCAAAGCCTAAAAACAAGATTCGTAATAACTAATTTACTGTCATGAAAGAGTTCACATACATGGAAGGAAACTAACCCATTCAGTTGGCAATTCACCCCCTTTTTACATCCCTAACGACAACCTCCACCAAAGTTAAGGCTGACAAAACACTACCCACCAACACTGACGACATTGATTTTTTTTTTTTTGCAGTAGTATGTACTCCTAAACTGTATGCTGCATGTCAATAGTGATTTAACCCTGAGCCTTAATAGCTCCCAGAAGTGATTAACATGCAACTTCTCCTTACATTATCCATTCACTATCCAACAAACAGGTAACGAGAACACTCAAAAGTATCAGGTAGACATTGTAATCTTGATTTAACACCAAATACCCCCAACTGATTTACCAGGAAATGTGTAACAGCAAGAGAGGAGAATTAACGATCAGATTTTGCGAGTTCAAGGATTAAGTTTCCAGTATAGTAGTTAACTAATAAAATTCTTTTCTAATGAAGTGAATATTCCATAGAATACCAAAAAAAAACTAACAAATGATCAATAGGCCTCTAACTGTACCGCAACAAATGTATATCAGGGCTCGACACTAACGGTAGCCCACTAGAGCCAGACTAGTAGAAATTCAGTTTTGGCTAGTGGTTTTTGGTTTCCACTAGCAAGTTTGGCTAGTAAAGGAACTGACATTGTAGAAGCATCTAAGATGGCACCAGCCACTTGGCTAGTACATTGAAAAGTTATAGTGTCAAGCCCTGATATATAGTAACATATCTGATACCCAGACAGTGTTCACACCTCCGCATGTGAGGCCATTGAGCTGGCTTCTATGGCATAAACTTTTTTGGCTCCTGCCTGCACAGCAAAGAATGAAAGGATCCCTGTTGACAAAGAAAGAAAGTGGACTAAGCTGGGGTGGCTTTAAGAATTGGTCTTGAAAATGGACAAGACCTGCTCTTCTTAAAAATAAAAATTCCATTACCACATATGTAGTAATATACTCATGCATTATAAACTGCATGGTTTATGTGTAACAGGTAATAATTCATTAGTTTAGATAGAGTAGCAAAAATTGCATGTAAATTTTGTTAGTTGTAATTGTAAAGCGCAAAGAGTTCAATTTTAATGCGCTATATAACAACTTATTATTAAATTATTAAATTAAATTAAATTTATCATACCTGATCCAGCCCCCACATCAATTACTACCTACGTACAAAAGGAGAGGCAGGAGAGATTACAAAAAAGAATTTCACTGAAATAGGAAAAATTCAAAGAAACGAAAGAGTTTTTGATACACTGGATATTAGCTGAAATATTAAGGTGGCTAGGGCTAGTTTCCTCGTGCTGGGAACATGTCACTCTTGCGTCACGTGTGAGAGAAACGCGTGAAAGAAGCACGAGATTAAGAGACAAAAATTCAAAACAAAGATGGCGGCATGAGGCTTTTTCCTACTTTTGTAAGTTTACCTAAGAGCGTGTATTTGATGTGTTGAATGGCCACTGCATATGCAGGAGACAGAAAGATTAAGAAGACGATTCTCGGAGACATAAAGGTTGCTTCACATCTAAACGAAATATCCAACCGATATGAAATCTTGCAAAGGCGAGAAAAGGAGAACTCAAGTGAAGAATAATCTGCCTGAAGTGAAGAAGATTGTGAAATTTCAAGGAAAATAATATAATATAGCTAGTAGCTGTGACAAGGTCCTTTAAGATGAGCCCGGGAGGCTGTCTTTCGTGGCTATTGAATGATTTTCTAAGCAGCAAATGTCTGTAAACATCAGATAGTAGGTGCTTGCGCAAACAAACGCGCTAGTCAGCGGTAGCTATAAAAACTGATCATGAGCAAATGTCGATCTTATAGAATCCAGATTTTTAAATGCGTGAGAATGCACATAGAAATTGCTAGGCTCAAGAAAGCTATTGCATGAAAACAAGTCTGGTGACCCCTTCTTTTTATTGTTGTAATATGATAATGATGTGGAAAGCTAGCTACTTGGGAGTACAAGTTCCAAAGGAATCGTCAGAAAAAGAAAAAACTAGAAAATTCTATGGATGGACATTAGGAAATTTTCATGCATCGCAAATAATTTAATTACATTTAATTAATTGAAATTGAAATTAGATTAAAAATTAAATTAAATTATTTGGGATGCATGAAAACTGCCTTTTTTCTGGATTTTCTGAAATTCTGCGCCGTATAATTTTTTAAAAATCTTTGTGCATTTTCCTTCCAAGTGCCTAAAGCAATCACAGGGTCACCAAGTTAGTTTTCAAGTTATTTGAGCCATAAGCTAAAAAATGCATCTAGATAATCCTTTGAAAGCATTGCCATGGAAACTGCTAGTGATGAAATGACACTATTTTTGGATAGCCAATGATTATATATTTCAACCCTGGCAAAGTCTTCAACTGGCCTTGGTCAGTCTTTTTGTTGTATTCTTTCAAAGTTACAAACCATTAAAAAAGATTAAAACTGGTACCAGCCACCTTAAATACCAAACATCTTTGCGAGACATGATGCCCTGATGGTTAGTGGGCTGGACTCCGGGTTGAGAGGCTTGGGCTTGAGACCTGGCTGCAACATGGTGTGGTGTTCTTGGGCTTTCCTTCATTCCTGCAGTGCCTCCCCCCCCCCCCCCATGAGTGATGGGTACAGCCGAATTGGCAGGTAAGCCTGATGGGATGCTTAAGGAGAGGGGGGGTGGTGAGGCTAGAGGCCATAGTGTGATGTTCTTGGCCTTTCCTTTATTCCTGCAGTGCTTCTCTCTCCCTCCACAAGGGAGAATGGGTAGAGACGAATTGTCAGGTAAACCTGATGAAATGTTTGGGGAGGGGGTGGGGGTGTAGCCTTGCATGAACTAATATCCAATTCAGGGAGAAGTAGTAAATACACCTACAGCAGTCACTTCATGTTATGGAAACGGTGATAAACTCCATCAGCTTAGACCACTAAGTTAACATACAAACTTCCCTTACTACTGAACAACTGTATATCCCAGTCACTAGACATAATTCAGGGTTAGACTAAGCATGTTTAACCAAGTTACCTTATCCTGAAAATCTGTGTGATTCTGCAACATTGCTCTTTGATATGTTGAGGTTCTCACATAATCCTGTTTAGTTGAAAGGAGTGTAAAATGTTAAGAACTTATATTTTCATCAAATCAAAATCCCCCAGACACATAATAGTTCAATTCTAAGTCATTTTTGTAAATTTGATTCCAAGAACTTGCAATGCTGCATCTTCACTGAGACAAGACTGAAGTTAAAGGCAGGGGTTTCATTAGGGGCCAGGCACCGGCCAAATTGACCGGTTGTAACGATGGATTTGCCCATGTGTTTTAACAATCTGGAGGAAGGTTTATCTCATAAAGAAGTTTAGTTCAAAAAGTTTTGCCCGCCTGTGAAAACCAGTTGCCCTCCTGCTGAAAAAATTAATGAAACCCCTGTAAAGGCTCCCCTCACTTAGTTGATGTTATGAAAGACTGGGTTGATTAGAAACAGCAAGGGGAGTTCTAGAATAAAAGGTAAATTTATCTGTAACTATAGGAGCACAATTTCGGAACTCAGTATACAACTGAAGCTCCATATGCAGACCTACGAGACAGCATCCAATACCTCAGATACAATCAAGGTAATGCAATTTGCTTCAAACAAATTTGAGAACGATATCATCTCAAGTATGTTTTTATTCTCTGATAAGGGTGAGTTCAAGACCCTTGAAACAATCAAAAGATAATTTACTCAATATAATGCATATTACCAGGGGTTTCATTAACTTTTTCAGCAGGAGGGCAACTTGTTTTTAGAGGTGGGCAAAACTTTTTTAATTGAACTTCATATGACAAACTTTCCCCCAGATCATCAAACCAGGTGGGTAAAACCGTCCTCACAACTGGTCAATTTGCCCAGTGCCTGGCCCTTAACAAAACCCTTGATATTACTATTAAAATAATGAATCAATATTAAACTGTATTGCTGTTCACTTTTTTGACTACTATTTTGCTCTAAAAGCATTTACCCACATTCAACTGTGCAAATCATATCTAATTCCTTTAAATGTTAAAAAAAGTAATTTAATATTTAATATATCTCAGTTTGATATTTGATTGTTCAGTGCTTGTTTGGATCATTGTTTTGGCTGAGAAACAAAAAACAGCACCTGCCATTATTTTAAAAGCAATATATGTCATTGAATGTTTTTGTGTACTTCTAATCTTGAAAGTTAATGGTCAATATTTTTGGCTCTGCATCACTCACACCATAACATCCAAGTTCAGGAATTAAAGGTCACATTTGTTTTAAAAAAAGAAAAAAATTGAAAAGCATCAGCTTGAACTTACCTGCATCATGTTTTGTTGCTGCGATAAATATCCATAAAACTGCCAAAAAAATAACAGTTTAGGAGCAGATTAAAATAACAATTATGGCTATACTAACAATGTCTATTAATGAGAAAAATAAAATACTAAATTTATAAAAGATTTAATTTAAATCAGATCATTTTTTTCTCTGCTGTGAATAGTGCTACAATGAAGAATGCTGCTCAAGAAAGTCTCTTTGTTTCACTGCAAACATGAGACAAAAAAAAAAAATTGGAGAAACTTAATATGAGAATGGACCTTTGGACTTTACACTCCTATGCTCTTTCACTACTCTACAGAGACCTCAATAGTGAGCTAGGCCATCACAAAGTTTAAGTTTACCAAAAGTGCTGCATATTTCTCAAATCAAACAGTGCCTTGAGAATTAAAGAGAGATGACGAGGTCACCAGCATGAAAGCCTCATGGTTCCTCCAGTCTCTTCTATAGGCCCAGAAAATCATTACAAGAAGCTTTTAAAAATTACCTGTTAATTGTAAGACTAGTATTACTTTCTTGCTATTTTATTGTGACTGGTCATGATTCCTCTTTAGTAAATAATAACATATTTCTTTGTTTGTTTGTTGTTGAAAGCTTTTTATACCCTTCATCACAAAAACCAAAGGTGATCTCCATTTTGTCACATGCATGAAACAAAAAAGAATGCAGTTGTGGATGAAGTTCTTTGGTTTAACAACAACAAGCAGCACAAGAAGAAACTTGCTACCCACATGTAGACATAGCTTGTAGAGATTTATGCCGTAATCACCTACAGATTTATGCTGCAATCTTCTCAACATTTCTGCCATTATCAACTACAGTCCCATGATCAACTAAGGATTTATGCTGTATATAGCATAAGGTTAATTTGGCACAGATAATTTATAAACATACCACAGCCCTGGGGATCATATCTGTAGCATTTCTATCTATTTTGTAAGTGCTGTGATCATCTTTCTCACCTGAAAATACTGACTGGCTGATGCCTTTTCTGTCCTTTCATCAAAAAGTGAACGCTTCTTCATTCTACCAGAAGCAGCATTTAACAGTTCTTTAAAGTCATTGACATCTAGAAAAAAGCATTGAAAATGTGGATGAAAACAGAGAATATGAAACAAGCTATCACAAATTGGATTTAGGGGATAAATAAACTTGCATGATTCAGTCCTACAGAGGGCCCTTTGAGGTACGTAACACCATGAATTTGGCCATCAATTGTTATTTTAAAACCCTTTGTTTCCAAGATCTTAACATAATACTCTTTTAAAGTCAGAATAAAATCCTCAAAAAATGGTTCAGAAAATTTGGTTTGACAAACTCTAACACCAACTTTTCTTAAAGTAATATGTTTAATACCAGTACTTCTATGATTAAGACACTTGGGAATAAAAGGATGAAGGAATAAGACAGGAAAATCCCAACAAGCATCATGCAAATGCAACTGCTAACTCTATTGTTTTAATCTGCATCATTCCAAAGATTAAAAAGAGGGCATAAATAGATATGAGCTTATGTTTACTAATCAAAGGCCTCAACCCTCTTTACAATATCCCACTCACCCCCCCCCCCCAAATCAAATGTTAAGGTCATGAGAATGAAGGAAATGATCACCAGCAAAGCTCTTGATTGTTTAACATATTCTCCTTGTCAGAACCATGGGAAATGTATAGAGAATGGTATGGAGAATATATGCATACAGAATGTTAGAGTGTAAAGAGTTTATCATAATGAGAGCCTAAGAGGGTGAGAGGAGCAATTCTGTGGTAAGCTTTATTAAGATGTTTCGTTGATAAAATAACCCTAAACAAATTAACCTTCTAAACAAGCAGTTCTTTCTCAAATGTAGCACAGCCCTCTGCCATCCACAAGAAACAGGCACAACTAAATTAAAATCTCAAAGTAGAACTATCCATCAAGTTGGATATGTGCCATAAAGTTACAGTGACAACAAGCTGAGAGGAAACTGTGATATCCACTTGGCAGACATTACAATTACAGTTTAAAAAAAAATTAATAAAAAATAAATGTGTCTAAAAAGCACTCTTTAAACAACAAAAGGTTAGTCCTTGATAAGGTTGTGGACCATTTCATGATTATATTTCATGTAAAAAGTAAAACTTGCAAAACACAGCTGCACAAGATATAAACAAAATCCTCTCCTAAAATTTCTGTCTCAAATAGTTCCAAGATCAATGAAAGTTGATTTTACACAACTGCTTTCAGACTGGTTACAGTCTGTCTTTTTCTCTGGATATGCGGATGTACTGGGTAAGGCTTGATAACCAAGACATGAAAAAAATAGTATGAAATGAAAGGGCAAGTAATATGTGGCACAGCACTTAACTTGTCGCACATTTGTGAAAAAAATGTTTTAATAGACATGTTTTAATGAATATGGCACCATCTTTCTGAAACCACACAGCTGATGGACACCAGACTAATTCCAAACTACTCTGTAATTGAGCAATACAATACATATGTTTCCACATTGCAGTTGGTAAACATGGAACCGTGAAATAGTTCCTTCTGTAATGCTAGATGGAGAAACAAAGTTATATTTCTCCTGGTTCTTTCCTCAGGCAATTTTGACGAGAAATAAAAGAAACTGTTACCTTAAAAATTTTCCCGAAAATTATTTGCGCTATTTGAGAGAGGATTAATTACATGCAAGCAGGAAAGAGGAAATTTCCCTATCCCACCTATATGAAAACCTTTCGTAATTTAATCAATGAAGTTTGGATAATTGCATAGCCTGAAGCTACTCTATTCTTCCAAAGCACGTATCTACCAATAAAGATTTTAAAAATACTAGTATCGTTGTCAAATATACTCCATAAACCTAGTGGTATGTATTATGCATGAGCTCGCTATAGTGGCATGTATTTATAACTATTCATTGTTCCCTATGAAAAAATCTTGAGATTCTTTCACTTTTTTCCGGTTCGACTGAAAAACAAAAGAAACAAGGGCTTACCTTCTCTGTGCGAAAAACTGAGAAGAACACTAAAATTCTGCTCGGGAAGATCTATAAGGTATCTCAGCCGACCCATTTGGCAGTGGTCTGTGTTTTTCGTCACTCTGAAACTTGGCATGTATTCATTGCCTGGGAAGAAAAACGTGTTGACAAAGCTCGTTCTACAAAGCTCAAGTCTTAGTTGTTTATTAGTTTCAAAACACACAAAAAAGTGTTGATCAACTTACCACTCCTGACACGAATATCAAGTGAACCGCTACAAGGATCTCCGAAAACATCGACCATACAATCTCCTCCGTCTTGCGTCGAAAGCGAATAGTCTCCTTTGATAATTTGAATTCGACAGTTCCGAAAGGACTGCGACTTCACCACTGTTTTGGCGCTCATCGGGTAATCCATAGGAACTTGTCGGCGTAGATAGTAGTTCAGGGTTGGTTACCAAACTAGATTACACGTGCAGTTGTAAATGAAGTTATATTTCTTCCTCCCAAAATTTTGCGGTTTGTTTAAAGAAAGAAAGAGCGTGGGCTCAGAATTTAAACCAGGATCCAGGCTCTTTAGTTTTCTCATGCGGTCTACGTGTCTATGAAGAGAGGAACAAACGTGATGATACCCAACAAAGCGTTCGTAACCCCTAAATTCGCTCTGTCATTTTCACACAAGAAGAAAATTTGTATGAAACAAAACAAAACAAAAACAAAAAACAAAAAAAACTATGAAGATTTTTTAAAGCGGATATGGCAATATTTATTTAGCTAGGTGGTCTAAAATTTCTACCAATACAAAAAATCACTATGGCTAATACTAAATATCGTTTGAAAACAAATGGGCAACTTTCGAGAGAGAAAAAATGATATCTTACTGGCCCACCTACTCTGACGCATTTTCTTACAAGTGGTCTGTTAGCATATTTTTCTGGTCACAGGCCTTGGATGTTCTACAGAACCTACGGAAACAAAAATTTGCGGGTTCAAATAATTTATCTAAGACAACCAGTCTGATTAGTCCGATCGATTTCAGAGCAAGGGCAATCCAGGATTGCAAAGGTTTCTCTTTGTTCCGGTCCATAATTGATCCCGACAGTTCATCTTCTTCACCAATCAGTTTCAAGACAACGGCCAAACACGACTTTCTCATTTACCTTCCCACGCACCGCGCTCGCGCACTTTCAATGATTTCACTTGAGCCCTCATCGGCTCTCACAAAACGTCCACGGCTTTGATTGGCTGCGGTAATTACTCCGGTTTTGGCAGGTCCAACGACTATCAACCGAAAAGCACAATAAGCCCCAGATATCTTTCCTTATTCTCTTTAATCATGCAACCAAACAGATGTTACTATGTTGCTTTGGAACTAAATGCGACGTGACGTAAATTTGCCTCGAGACGACTCCGAAATTGTAAGCGAAACCGGTTCATCTCTTTACGTCAATCCGTGAATGGCCTTTTCTTGTGCGCACCTTTTTAACTGAGCCGAGCCCTTCTTGGCTTTACACCGAACTAGAATTATATGTTTCTCTCCAAATCACATCAATTTGTGCCTTGGGTTGCATCGCGAACGGCAGAAATGAGAGCCAGCGAACCATCAATTTTCTTGAACCGCCGAAGTATTTGAATATTATATTAACGAATAAGCCATCTCACGTTATAAATTTATTGGCCAAAGCACGCCGTTTATTCCACTGTTAAACCCATAAAAAATTACGTTTGTAAAAGGCAAATAGATTTTGCAAATCACACGCGCCCGGCTCGTGATTTACAAACTTTTTCTTGTGTCTTCCCGTGCAGCACGCCGTGTGGGTTGTCACGCCAGTAAACCGATATTGAGTGGTCTAAGTGCGGTAAAAGAAAATAATAAAACAAGGATATGGCTAATGACAGGAGGTTTGAAATAGGCTAAATTTTTTTTCACGACTTAACCCCAGACCAAGCAAAACCAAACCCTACGCATGTAAAAGAACAACGAAACTATCGACTTTAAATTCGCTGAATACTCATATAGGAGGAATTAAAACCTTTGTAATCAAATGAACATATGATGAAAGGCGTTGTTTTTTCTTTAAACAGTCAAGTTTAAATTTCTTGTTATCAGCAGCACCAGGTATGTAAATAGATCCTAAACTTATTAACTCTACAAATTCTGCACTCTAAGCCTGTCCCGATTATGTCTTAACTTGCTGAAAAGCTGCTCACTGAAATGCCAAAAAGTTGCTAAAAAAATTGACAAAAATCCAAAACGTTGCGACCTAAATTTTAAAAGTTGCTGCCTAGAGTTCTTTACATTTTTATAAAAACGTAAATTAAAAGCTTTATTCACAATAATTGCTAGCATCGGTAATAGCTTCAGTTGAAAATTAGCTTTTAAGACTTGCTCGTAAATAGGGGCGAAATTTAAGTCTAACGGAACTAACCACATGGCTCATCTGTGTTCAATTGGTAGATGATCATTCAAGACGAAATTCGCTTAAACTAATGTTTTTAATGAACCCATAACCTTCTAAAAAAATGCTCAGAAAGGCAAAATTGTTCAAGGTTGCTGGAACTGCAAAATGTTGCTCCAAACGCCAAAGTTGCTCAAAAGTTGATAAAAGGCTGATAGTTTCGAAAGAAACTGTTTGGGGCTGCGTCGGTGGGGGTAACGAAATAATTTGGATATATCAACAAAGTTGAAATGGTAAATTGGCCACCGTAACGATTACAAAAGCTGACGTTTCGAGCGTTAGCCCTTCGTCGGAGCGAATAGAGGAATTGTGGGTTGTGTGTGCTTTTAAAGGCAGAAAATGGAGCTACGTTATTGGTGGGAACATGGCAACGAGAAAAACACGAATAAATTAGTGGAATGAAAAGCGTTCGTTGATCCCTGTGGGATTTAGACTGCCGGTTTGAAAGATGAGCTTTTGTTCAAGAGTTTTACGGCTTTCCGTGCTACCTAAGTGTAAGGAAAGACCGCAGATTGCCATATGTTGCTTAGAATGATTAGGTAAATTAAAATGTCTAGCGACTGGTTTCGATGTGTCCTTGTCATTCCTTTCCACGTCTCGAAGGTGTTCTCGGAATCGGTCACCTAGTCTTCTGCCTGTTTCGCCGATGTATATCTTTTTGCAATAAGTGCAAGTTATGCAATAGATTACATTGGCGGAGGTGCACGTGAAGTGATCGGTGATCTTAATGGATCGTTTAGGTCCCGATATTTTATCAGTGTTGTGAATGAAAGGACACGTTTTGCATCGTGCACGAGCGCATTTAAAAGTGCCTGGTTGGTCATTAGTCTGAAAAGAACTTCTGACCAAAAAATTGCCTATGTTTTTGTCGCGTTTGAATGAAATGAGCGGAGGCTGCGAAAAGATAGTGCTTGTCTCTGGATCGTTTTGAAGTAATTTAAAGTTTTTAAGAATGATGGATTTAACTGAGTGGTTGTGAGGGTGAAACGTGAGAGTGAATGGAATGCGGTCGGAATCTTCCTTATGCGACGTTTGTAGTGCTGAATGTCGATCAATAAGTTGNNACTTTTTATTGGCTTAGCCATTATGGTATATGAGCCAATATACCATAATCTATGATATGGCAAGCATACGAGTCAGCTTAAAATTAAAAGGGAGCTAAGAATTTAATAACATTTAATAATTTAATGTAATGTTTTTAATAAAACAATTATTCCACTCACCTTTGTTGGATATGAGATTTCTAAAGCCAACTTGGCGCTACGCGCCTCATTGGCTATCTATCATCTCATATCCAACGCGTGCTTGTGGAATAATTGTTAAATATCAAATTTACAACTGCCTTTTTTTTTATTGAGATTTTTTTATATACTATCAATTGATAGCTGCCTATATAAATTATATATTGCCATCATGACTTTTTTTATCTCTTTCGTTGTGAACCAAGCTTTGCAAACTGAAACACTGAAGCAAAGATTTAATTAACTATGAATAAATGCAGTAAAACAACCACAATCTTAAATGTAAACACAGAACAAAGTTCACTGAAGGTTCAATTGTTTGTCTCAGGATGTGGAGTCAAGCATTATATTGTCTTGATTGCAACATTTTGACTGCTATACTGCTAGTCTTCTTTGTCAGGCAAAAAGTTCAAAAGTCTACTTGGCACTATTTAAGCCACCCTGGTTTGCTGTTATTGGTTTGGTGCTATAAATAGTGATGCCATAAATTTTGACTTTATTCCCTGCTGCAGACAAGCAGTAAAGTAGTTGAAACATTGTGATCATTACAACTGATTAGCCTGACTCTGCAGCCTGAGAAATATGATTAAATGTTCATTTATCTACAAAATTACAATGAAAAACAACATTTTCTATGACAAAGAATAAAATGCTCATTACCTCAACTTGATTCCAGTTGCCTCATCAACTTTACTTTCACCGTAAGGATCTGTCGATGCCGAACTTTGCTGTACTATTTGCAACTGAGCTGTCTAATAAATAAAGGAGATATTTCAACACAAAATAAACTTTTACCTTATGCCATCAGACTGATAAAAGCTTTTATAAATTATAGTAAATTTCATATTTATTTCAAACACCCGCCAAGACTAGCTAATGCTATATGCGGGTTGTATAAATTTGCATGTAATGTTGTGTAAAAATAATAATAAACAACAAACAACAAACAACAAACCCTCAAGGAAAACTGAAATTGATTGAAAGGATAAGGAGTTCATGTTACCCGAAGTTGAGAATAAAAGTTTTGAATTAGTATTCTGACTTGGTTATTGCAGTTCTTTTCAAACAAAGTAATTAAATCTTAACCAAGGTTAAAAAAATAGTCTTAAGTGACAAGGAAATGAATGATTTCACCAACAAAACTACATAAAAATACAATTCACAGTATTCAAAAGCATCCCAGACCAGCTAAACTTTCGCTGAATGAATGGTATTTTTGAGTAATGCTTAAGATAAGCATAAGTTCACGGATGTTCACACTCACAACTTAGGAGTGTGCAATGCAAGTCACATCAGTGGTACTGAGAAACAAGATGGCACTTGTGCTTACAAGTTCTTAATTAATTGCACCAGTTCCTGCATGCGAAATAAGCATAATACAAGCACAAGAAAAAGATGTTTCTCTTTCTTTTGCTTATGCAAGAATATATGGCTGAAACATAATAAATTCAATGTTCAGGGTTTCAGTAGTATTTTTCACTTGATAGCTTACCAGTTCCAGTTTCTCTTTTTCTTTCAGTTGTATTCTTCTGATTAGCTCTGCAATATTTGTAAACCCGGCCTCCCCAAACTTTGTTTCAATTGTAATAACATCACTTGATATCTTATTGAATTTCTGTGTGATATCATGCACCAGTTGCCGATATGACGGGAAATCATAGTTTGGAGCACTTTCAAGATATACTTTGAAACCACTGCAAGAGAATGAACAACAAATTTGGTACAAAAAAATATAACAATTATTGGTGGTACATCACTGGGTTTTCCTTTTCAAATGAATTTGAAGCTGATAAAAGTGAAGCAGTAGGAGACTACCTGGGTGCGTGGCAGCCAACCATAGTGCCAGAGGCGCTAACTACTTGGGGGTCTGGAGGCATGCCCACCTCGGGAAATTTTGAAAATTTAAGTGCTCTGGTGCAAGCTTGTAATGATGTCACGCGCCAGTGCACGACTAAAAACTCTTCGTTTTTTGTTGCGTTTCTCGCGAGTTTTTTCGGAGGAAATAATTATGGACGTTTTATCGATTTCCGTTTCTTGTACATCATTGAAAGACAACACACGAGGCGTTTATTGTTTATCTAAAATATTTGAAATTATACAATAGCAATTATTTTTTTTGTTGCCGGCGATGGAGCCATTCACAGGCAGCGAAAATCGACAGTCGCCGGCCGGAAAGGAAAACCCTCACATTGTGCTTTTTGTGGTTTACTGTGTTCCAATTACTGTATAAAAGAGATCGGAAACGTGCTCTACCTTAAATAATGAAAAATTAGATTTACCTGTCAAATGTTTTGTATGTCTTCACTCTTTCTTCTTGTAGAGTAAAGAATTGCTGTATGAGTTCCTTAAGACTCATAGCTGCAGCGTGAAAGATTTACCACTCCACATTTTTGTTCAAGGAAGAAGATGATGCCAATTATCGTCAGGCGTTTTGCAGTTATGATCGAAAAGACTGGATCCAATCAACATATTACTCTCCTCATTCCCCTCCCTGCGTTCGATATCGGTCACTTGTAGTTGTGTGT